AAAACGCGAACCGGACCGGATTCACGCGGATTCCGATCCACACATGTTACGCGAACGCTACCTCCTCGCCGCCGCCGCCGCCATTACCTCCAGAAGCCAAACCCCCTACAACCCCTACCTCTTAAAACCAAATAAACCTTAACAAAAGTAGAAAAAAAACATAGAACCCAAACTCCACCACTTCAGAATATTCTCGAAGATCCTCTCAAGCCCCCGGGAAGTGTCGGGAACGTGACGCTTCAAGGAATTCCTGTCTTTTTATCGGTCTGTTATCAAGGGCGAACCATCGGCAGGGATAAGCAGGGCGGAGCGGAGCGGAGGGCGAGCCAGACCGGTCGACCGTGAACCGAAAGGAAAAACAAATCGACAAACCACCAAAAAAAGAAGAAAAAGACGAAAGGAAGGAGAGAGAGAGAGAGAGAGAGAGAGAGAGAGAGAGAGAGAGAGAGAGAGAGAGAGAGAGAGAGAGAGAGAGAAGTAAAAAAAAAAATTAAGCAAACTTGTACTTGCAACGGTAAACGGAGAGTAAGCGTCATTAATCAAAAATAGAACAGAGGAGAGGGAATAGAAGGAAGTTGCAGATGAATGTGCATATGCAAATGGAAAGTAACGTCATTAATAAAACATAAAAACGCAGGAGAGGAAGAGGGAAGACACGAGAAAAAGGGGAAAAGGGAAGAAGAGGGAGGGAAGAAAATGAGAAGAAAATGTGATTTAGGAAAACTAAGGAAGAGGAGGAAGAAGAAGAAGAAGAGGAAGAAGAGGAAAAAGAAGAAAAAGAAGAAGAAAATGAAGAAGAAGAAAGGGATGAATAAGAAGAAGCGCAAGAAGAGGTGAAGACATAGGAAAAGAGGGAAGACGAGGAGCAAAGAGAGAAAAAAAAAATCTCGATAAAAGACGATGATACAAAAAGAAAAAAAAACACGAAAAAATGCGAAAGAAATAAACGATAACGTAACACAACAATAATAACAAAACGAATAATAATAAAACATAATAATAATCTAAAACAACTAACGCACAAAAATATAAATAAATCTAAAAGACAAAACATAAAAGAAAATCAAGAAAGAATAAGCAGAAGATAAAAGACACACACGCAAAAAAAAAATAAAGCGCAGAGCAATAAACAGAAGCGCATCGCCATCCGCAACGACCTCCGCCAACAGGAATTTTGGCCAAAGAATCGTATAAATTTCCCAAAACAGACAAATATGGCCGATAATCAGGGGATGTAAATGCACGGGGGGGAGAAAGAGGTTTTATTTGTATAAGGAAAACACTCGAGAATAAGTCAATTTATCTTGAAAGGAAGATGGGACGTAATCTTTCTCTCTCTCTCTCTTCTGTCTCTCTTCTCTCTCTCTCTGTCTCTGTCTCTCTCTCTCTCTCTCTCTCACTCTCTCTCTCGCTCTCTCTCTCTAAAGATTTTTTTCCCGCGTTTTCTGGTCTACTATTTTTTGTTTTGTTTTGTTTTGTTTTCAGTTTATTTATTTTTTCAATTTTGATTTCTTTTCCTCTTTCTTTCCTTATATATATATATTTTTTTTATAAATTTAACTTATTATTATCATTACTATCTTATCTCCAATGTTCATCTTTTTTTCTTATATTCCATTGTTCCTTAAAATAATATTTTTTACGTTTTTTCATATTATCTGATTCGTTTTCCAAAGTCACAGTTTTATTCAATAGATCTTATCTTAAATCTCTTATTCAAATTTCACTTTTTCTCCATTATTTTCTCACATTTCCTTAATCATCTTCATTTCCATTCCCTAATTTCCTTTACCCCTTTTTTATCATATATTTTTCTTTTTTTTTTTCCTCCCGTTTCTCCTCTTTGCTTTTTGGGCTTACGAGCTTTGAGCAAATTAACGATTCCTGGAGACTGGAAACGAAGAAATAAATATCCACGTCTTTCAGTTTTCACCCCGAAGCCCATAAATTTCTCCCGAAGATAGACTTAGGCATAATATAACCTTCTTGTACGAAATAAATCACTTTTTAATTCCTCGACGTGGCGTGTGACGTCACGAGGTGCTGAATCATCGCCAATTCTCCATCTGACGATCTTTATCATCGTATCAAGTCTTTCCACTATTCGCTAAATATAAAAAAGAAAGAAGAAGAAAAAGGATAAAAAGAAACTATCGTCAGTTTCCCCCTTTTCTCCCTCTTGGCTTTATCGTCTTCTCAAGTCTTTCCACTATTCGCTAAATAAAAAAAAAAAAAAAGGAAAAAGGGAAAAACAAAAAAAAGCTTGCAACTATCGTCAGTTTTCCCCATTTCTCTCTATTTTATCAGATTTTCCCATGCATTGTCTGCGGATCTGGCTTATGCTAATCGTCTTCTCTCTGCTTGTCCATTTTCGTGTTTATCGAGACGTGTTTGTATGCCTGCGTCCGATTACTTTCTCGTTTTTGCCTTTTTATTGTCTTTCTCGCTTTATCTCTTCTTCCATATACGTCTTCTGCCTCTCTCTTCATCCACCTTTCGGTCTGTCAGTCGCCTTGTCTCTTCTGAGTGCGTTCTTGGGTCCGCTCTGTTTCTTCTTCTTCATCTTCATCTTCTTCTTCTTCCTTTTCTGTTAGTTCTTCTTCGTCTTCTTCTTCTTCTTTTTCTTCTTCTTCATCTTCTTCTTTCTTCTAGTTGTTCTTCTTCTCCTTTTTCTTTTTTCCTTTTCTTTTTCTTTTTTTATTTCTTCTTCTTTTTCTCCTTCTTCTTCTTCTTCTAGTTCTTCTTGTTCTTCCTATTCTTGTTCTTCTTCTTTTTCATTTTCTTTTTCCTCTTCTTTTTCCCCCTTAACCCCTTCCCAATTTCCCGCTTCTCCCAGCCATCCCTCTTTCTTTCATCCACCCATTCCCTTTCCCCCCAAACCCTCTCCCTCTCCCTCCTTCTTTCCCCTCCTCCCTCCCTCTCCCTCCCTCCTTCCCCTTTCCTCTCCCACACCCTCTTTCCCCCCTCCCTCCTTCCCCCTTCTCCTTTCCTCTCCCCCCATCCCCTTCTCCCCACCCTCACCCCCTCTCCCCACACCCCCTTCCCCCTTTCCCTTCTCCCCCCACCCTCTCCCATCCCACCCCCTTCCCCCCCACCCTCTCCCCTCCCCCCCCTTTCCCCTCCCCCCCCCCACCCCCTTTCCCCCACCTACCTGCAGCTCCATGACCGTCGAATCCCTTTGGCTGACTGTCTCCCTGAGGTTGGCGAGGTCTGCCGCGGCCTTGTGGAGCTCCTGTTCCCTCTGGGCGGCGAGGGCGTCGTGCTCCTGGAGGCGGGCATCTCGGGCGCGCACTTCCTCCTGCTGCTGGTGGACGTGTGTCTCCAGCTGTGCGAGGCGGTTCTGGGGAGGGCGGAGGAGGAGGAGGTGGGTGGTGAGGTGACAGGAGGCAAAAACAAAAGGGGGAAAGGATTTTATTAAAAATATATATTTTTGTTATTTCTATATTTTGATATTTTATTTTTATATTTTTCTTATATTTTCATATTTTTAGGTTTTTATTTATTTTTTTCTATTTTCGTATTGTTTTCGTATTTTTTATATTTTCGTATCTTTTTCGTATTTTTTATATTTTCGTATTTTCTTATATTTTCATATTTTTAGGTTTTTATTTTTTTTCCTATTTTCGTATTGTTTTCGTATTTTTTATATTTTCGTATTTTTTTCGTATTTTTTATATTTTCGTATTTTTTTATATTTTCATATTTTTCATATTTGTTTTCTATTTCTATATTTTTATATTTCTGATTTTTTTTCGTGATTTTTAGTTTTATTTTATACTTCTGAGATTTTTTTTCTTTATTTCTGTTTTAGTCTTTTTAAATTTTATTTTCCTGTTTGTTTTCAATGCCTATCAGATTTTTTTAAAAGAATGATTTATTTTTGTTTATGTTTTTAAATTTACAATTTTGGGGGTTATTTTCTCATGCTTCTTAGATTTTCTGTTTATATTTCCTTATAAACTTTATCCTTTATTTTCTTAATATTTATGTTTTATTCTCAGATATGCGGATTTACATTCTGCATTATATTAATAACTATACATTATTTTCCAGTGAACAAACACCTCATGAATTTTACTATTTTACTACTTAATGTATAATTCTTACATATTCGCTATTAATCTCAGTTTTACTCAATAAATTCGCATTATCAAAGTGCTAAATGTCTAGCGCATACATTTATGATCAAAGATAAAAAAAATAGAGTTTATTTGAGATGCCACTTCACTTTTTGAGGGAAAATTTATTACGTCAGTTTCCCTTCCGACCAAGTTCCTAATAAATGAATTATTTATCTGACATGTTCACTGTTCATACTGGATTTCCAATTGATTATTATGCATGTCAGTCACCCGGCGAGACAGCAGAAGACAAAATATATAGCAATATTTTTTTCCTTTTTTTTTCTTTTTTTTTGCAGTGAGATAAATTATGGAAATCATGTTGATATTCAATATATATTTCTGATTTCGTTACGGATAAATCGTACTACGTATTTTGAGTCTCATGTGTAGAGCATTTATCAAACAAACAAACACATGTCGAATCCAGAGAGTCAGTTCATTTAATCGCTTTGTAAAACCAATTAATCTCACTAATTTAACAAACTAACCTTTAAACCTGTTGCCATTCTAATTTGCATACAGATCCAATTAATAATAACTTCGCATCGTATTTAAGAAGGGGAAAAAAACAACAACATACAAATGAACATCTTACTTATCAGCTGATCATCAAGTACCTCATCTTATTGATCAGCTGTTCGCGTCTCTGTGCTTTATCGGTCAAACTCTTATCAGTTTCAGACTTGAGAAAAAGGAGAGAGAAAAAGTGATTTTTGGACTGTTGTATCTCGCTGTATTTTGCTTTTGTTATTGTTTAGGGATATTATCAATATTATTGGTATCATGATTATTGTTGTTATTATTATTGTTATCATTATTATTATTATTATCATCATTTTATTATTATTATTTTTGTTATTATTATTGTTATTATTATTATCATTATTATTATCATCATTTTATTATTATTATTTTTATTATTATTATTGTTATTATTATTATCCTTATTATTATTATTATGACTATTATCAGTATCTATATTTTCATTATTTCTATTATCATTATCATTATCATCATTATTATTATTATCATTATTATTATTATTAGCATTATTATCATTATTGTTAATATTACTTTTATCATTATTATCATTATCATTATTATTATCATTATTAACATTGTTATTATCATCACTATAATTATTCCTATCATTATTATTATTTTCATTATTGTTACTATCATTATCAATATTATCATTATAAGTATTATCATCATCATCATCAATTTCATCATCAATACCATTACCATTATCATTACCATAATTCTAACAAACAAACAAACAAACACGAGCGCGCGAGGAGGCCATGAAACCGGTTCCCTCCTTCCCTCCGCATCGACGGGCGGGCGGGCGGGCGGATGGGCGTGTGGGCGGTGCGTTGGGCGCGTAAATTTGCAATGCAACGGCTGCAACTGACGGATCCGGAGGGCGTGTTGATGCGGAATGAAGCGATTGCACCTCCTTTGCCTCTTCTTGTTCTTCTTCTTCTTCTTCTTGTTCTTCTTGTTCTTGTTCTTGTTCTTCTTCTTCTTGTTCTTGTTCTTCTTCTTCTTGTTCTTCTTCTTCTTGTTCTTCTTCTTCTTCTTCTTGTTCTTCTTGTTCTTGTTCTTGTTCTTCTTCTTCTTGTTCTTGTTCTTGTTCTTCTTGTTCTTGTTCTTCTTGTTCTTGTTCTTCTTCTTCTTGTTCTTCTTCTTCTTGTTCTTGTTCTTCTTCTTCTTGTTCTTCTTGTTCTTCTTCTTGTTCTTCTTCTTCTTCTACTACTTTATCTTCTTTTTTTTGTTTTTGTTTTTCATCTTCTTTTTCTTCTTCTTCTTTTTGTTTTTCATTTTCTTTTTCTTCATCTTTTTCTTCTTCTTCCTCTACTCCTTCTTCTTCTCTTTTTCATTTCATTTTTCTTTTTCTTCTTCTTCTTCTTATTATTATTATTTTTCATTTTATTTTTCTTCTACTTCTTCTTCTTCTTTTTCTTTTTCATTTTATTTTTCTTCTCCTTCTTAATTTTTTAAAATCAACTAATTTATCTATTTGTTTGTTTGTTTGTTTTATTAATCAACTAATTCATTCATTTATTTGTCTGTCTTTTACGGTTTTGTTTATTCAATTATTATTTACCGATTAATCAAGTTGTTTATTTATTCATTTATTTATCTTCTTATTTTAATTATCATTTATTTGCTTATTAATATGTTCATTCACTTATCTATTTGTTTATTTATCCATTTATCTGTCTATGTATTTACTTATTTTGTATCTTGGGTAAGTAAGGAAAGTAAATAAACTCTAAGTGAAATAAAACTAAGTGAACAGTGGCGAAAAGGCGAGAGAGAGAGAGAGAGAGAAAGAGAGAGAGAGAGAGAGAGAGAGAGAGAGAAAGAGAGCGAGAGAGAGAGAGAGAGAGAGAGAGAGAGAGAGAGAGAGAGAGAGAGAGAGAGAGAGAGAGAAAGAGAGCGAGAGAGAGAGAGGAAGAGAGAGAGAGAGAGAGAGAGAGAGAGAGAGAGAGAGAGAGAGAGAGAGAGAGAGAGAGAGAGAGAGAGAGAGAGAGAGAGAGAGAGAGAGAGAGAGAGAGAGAGAGAGAGAGAGAGAGAGAGAGAGAGAGAGAGAGAGAGAGAGAGAGAGAGAGAGAGAGAGAGGAGAGAGAGATGAGAGAGAGAGAGAGAGAGAGAGAGAGGAGAGGGAGAGAGAGAGAGAGATGAAGTGAGAGAGAGAGAGAGAGAGAGAGAGAGAGAGAGAGAGAGAGAGAGAAGAGAGAGAGAGAGAGCAGAGAGAGAGAGAGAGAGAGAGAGAGAGAGAGAGAGAGAGAGAGAGAGAGAGAGAGAGAGAGAGAGAGAGAAAGAGAGAGAGAGAGAGGCCTACATTCTCACCTGCAAGTTGGCATTCGTCTGCGTCAGCGTGGCTTCGCTTGTTACCTTCTCGTCGACGGCCCTCTGGAGTTCAGATGTCTTCTCCTACACCGGAGGGAGGGGGAGAAGGGTGGGGGGAGAGGAAGAGGGGTGGGGGGGAAGAGGGGTGGGGGAGGAGAAGGAGGAGGAGAGGGGAGGAGAAGGAGGAGGAGAGGGGAGGAGAGGAAGAAGGGGTTGGGGGGGGAGATGAAGAGGGATGAGGGAGGAGAGGGAAGAGGGGTGGGGGGGAAGGAAGAGGGGTGGGGGAGGAGGAGGAGGAGGAGAGGGGAGGAGACAGAGAAGGGGTGGGGGAGAGGAAGAGGGGTGGGTGAGGAGGAGGAGGTGAGGGAGAAGGGGGGGGTGCGGTTAAGAGAAGGGGGGAGGGGGAAAGGAAGCAAACATATGTTAATCACAACTTTACTCATTTAAGAGAGAAAAAAAATATATACATACCCAAAATTTTAGTATCTTAGAACAACTACATCTTCCCTCCCCATTC